TCCGGAATCGACCATGTGCGCCAGAATAGAGCTGTTTATGCTCCTGACTTCAACTTTTCTCAGCCATGCCGGGAAGTGTTCTTTTATGTATGGGCGTATAGAAATGTCGTTGTAAGCATCTTCATCTTCGGCTACCCACTAACTTCCACTTTTCCCTTCAGGTCTCCGGACTCAATGGCGGCATTGCAATCATCCACGGCGGCCATGGTCGAATTGTAAGTTAACTGCAAAAGTAACACTCGCTTGCAACGCTGGACTTCTCCTAACACAGGTGGGCCGGGATTTTCTGTGAAAAGTCACACACACACAGCGGTTCGTCATGCGGAGTGATTAGCACCGTTTATGGTGGCCTGTTTCTTGCACCATCTGAACTGCGTGTACACGGTGCTTCCTTTAGCAAACGAAATGCGTCATCCAGTGACAATCATTGCCCTCAAATAAACCTGCGTGCGCATCTGTGTTTATGATCGCGTTGGCTGGTCGGGGCTATAGCCGAATGAGGGACGCATACGTAAACCCAAAACGGTTGCTGTCTAAGTCTCCGCTAGCCTTGCTGGCCCACATTTATTAGAATTTTGGTTTTAATCTCTGTTAGGCTCATGCGAGATTTGGTTAGTCTAGGATTAACGTTCACTGCTCGTTAACAGAACTCACTCCTCCCGCTCTACCTTGCGGTTCATTTTCGAGCCGCGCCAGCACCTGCATAACGGCTAGTAGTCTAGACAGAAATACAGTACCGGCGAAGACAATGGAGACTGCAATGGTCATTTATGGTTCATTAACCATCAGCAGCCAATCATACCCAAATCCAAGTGATGCCCCACTCAACGAGCCCGCAGCTCAATGGTTAGAGCGTAATTTTGTAACCAAAAGGTCCTCGGTTCGAGCCTCAGATGGGGCAACATTTGGGATTGGGTGTAACTGGCTGGTGACGGCTAATGAGCCAGCAATGGTCATTTCGATCTCCCTTGTCTTTGCCGGCAATGCTATCTGCAAGCTTTTGTGTCAAATATTATTTGAGACACTAATTAGGAAATGAGCTGATACAGATATTGTGCGCAGTGGTGTTTCAGAACTCCTCGGCCTCCTTCTCATTGCTATGCAGGGACAGATCTAATTACCATTCTCTCTAATGCCTCTGGATGTATGTAGTTTCTTTCTACCAGACTTATTACCTATCTTTGGTTTTAGGACTGATGACCATCCTAGCCGTCTCTCGTTTTTACTATTAGGACGACCCCACTATAAATGCAAGGCCTCGTTAACTTATTAAGGCGGCTAATCCCTACGTCCACCAGATTCAAGCCTTAGTTCTTAGGTTGACGCAGGATTTGCCTAATTGCCGTGTTCCTTCTAGAAGCAATTGTCATGTCTTTGACCCATTCGTGAAAAACGCAATGAGCTACGAACCCACGACAGTCAAAGTCAAATAAATTACTCAACTCTGTCAACCCCCTGCCTGGTAGCCAATTGGTGGACTGTAGATTTGTTTTTTAAGAAATCTTGCTTAATTAGTCAGCTTACGGTATCAGTATCCCTGGATTCCATACGTTGCTGACCTGGCAACTTTACCAAAATGTGATTAAATTCACGGCTGCCGGTGGAGGCCTCGGAGCTCAGTTGGCTGTACTAAAGCCTCCCCCGCGCTGTCGTTGCGTCGAGTCTCACGGAGGCCGCCGTATAACTGATTTAAAGGAATTCTTCTGATCTGCCCAACCGTTTCCCACGTAATAATTATCATTCCACCCCCCTCCCTTGCCACCAGCACCTGTTTCGATGCTCTGATGTGGACAACTTTGTGAATTCTCTTTCCGAGGCGGCCATGCACTACATGGGCATAAGCATCTGCGTAAAACCAGATCCCCTCGAGTTGGATGCCTGTCGCCAGCAGCGTTTCGGAGGTTTGGCCACGTAAGCATTCCCCTATTCGGCAATACTAATCTTCTGCTTGTTCCCGCCTTTGGCGCAGAGCAGACGCACATTCCTGTACTCGCTAATCGCTAGTTGTCCTTCTCCCTCCAGGCCAGAGGCGATGATCTCACAAGCTGAGTTTATCGTCCAAAAGGTGGCGCCCTATCGCTACGGTCCCGACGCCCAACCCGTCACGCGCACCCTCTGTCTCACGGAGAGCCTCCTCGTGGAACGTGATCCGGTCAGCTATCGGGCCATCTGTGTGCAGCCT